TCGTGGGATGTATGGTGATTCCCACCTCTAGTAGTTAGTTCATGGCCAAATGATCCGTCAGATCCGACATTAAATTAAACACCAAAGAAAATCTGCTGGTTCGACAAAGACAACGCGATCTTACGATGTTACGATGAGCTCTGGGAAAATGGTGATAACAATTTTTCTCTTTTAATTAAAAATTAAAACGATAAGTGACCCTGACCTCCCTACATGTACTCTCATTTAATACTGCAAAGTCAGCCCATTCACTACGAGGCACGTGATGATTTGAAAGCAGCATGTCGTGCTCTAAATTGAGGCGTTAATTCTTGGCAATCAACTGTCCCTCGAGGCTTCTTGTATCTGCTCTGACACAGGCTCACAGCTGCCTCTTTTTTGGGAAGGGACGAAGACTTCTTTCTTTCTTTTTTTTTCTGATGTTGCAGATTCTAATGAAGACCACTAATCTGTGAATTCATAACAGTCCGAACACATTAGACACGCTCCGGTTTCAATCACCGCACCGCTGAGACAGACGGCCTCTCAGCGCGAGTAATCTTTATCCTCGCCAGAAATGACAGTCGACTCTCTGAATCTTCATCATGGCTCTTTTCTTTCTCTGTTAGAAAGAGCATCTGGCTCCACGCTCAGACAATTATGCATCCGATTAAAGCAACGATCCAAAACATATTCGGGGGGAGTTTTCCACTTCTCTATGCAATGTTTTCAGTGATCTTAAAGCCGCCTTGTCACAGATACTGAAGATGTATTATCAACATTACCCTGCTGTAATGCAAAGCACTCAAGTCAGTAGTCTCCACAAATACCATGCAGAACATAAGCTGAATCTTTACAAGAGGAAGTGACATCACTGATCGATAAAAGGCAGGTCTCTCACCATGCTGACTGTGCTGAATGAAGGTCGATAGGCTTCCTATAGCAAAATATGTAAGCGAATATGGCTCCAAATGTTTTTAACTCATGTGCACTCAGATTTTAGATGTAAGACAACAGACACGGTTCTTCTAATGTGCTGCTGAGATGTTTCCTCTTTCGGGTTGTTTTCTGCTCTTCTTGAGCTTTGCAGTTATGCAAAGATTTGGCAAAAGAAATCAACACATCTAAAACAAGATTAGATCGGCAGGTGAGAATAATTTCCTCTTTTCCCGCCTCACATGATAACCCGTACAAAGTGTTCCTGGGCGAAGATCCTTTATCAGCACAGAACTGTAAACATGGCAAAGAGGAAAGATGATGCTATCAGATGTGTCAGGGCTCTCCAGCAAGTAGTGGTAAAATGTATGACTAAGAATGAGCACCTACTATGAATGTGGGACTTCTTTAAAAAGCACAGATAATGAGGCTGTATCCTGTATAACATGAATGTAATGTGGAAGAGGATTCAGAACTCTTTGATGAGCAGGTCAAATAAATTAAAAGGGGGAAAAAATAGGTCAAATGCATCTGTAAACATGGAAATTTGACCTCTTTACGTGACCCAAAACAAATCAGGTGAAAACTACAGAGCAGATACAGGATTAAATACAGCTTAATTTGTGCACCAGATAAGTTAGCAGCCCTTGTCCTTGTGTGGCTATGCTTTGTTAGACTCCATATTTGAATCTATACTGGTTGATGTTATGAGAATCTTCCTAAGCCAGAGTGAAAAGGTTACAATTTATCTGACAGACACTGTCTTGTAATACAGTGTCAGTAAAACAATGATTAATAAAACAGTTTCAAATAATCTTGCCAGGGACATAGTTTGTACAGGGGGGGTGATTTTGTACAGTTTTTGAGAAAAACCATTTATATGAAATGGTTTGCTGTTGGATGGAAATAGGCAGCCCATTTAGTAGCCACTTTCCAGCGTGAATGGGTCAATTGTAATGCATATTAGCATGTGTCAGTGGAGGGGGCTGCGTACCATGCTTGCAAAACAAAGACCGGCACAAAGACGCCTGCCCTCACGGACAGGATGTTCTCTGCAGCTCCATATCTCTCTGCAGTGCCACATGAGAATGTGAATGCACACAGATCCATGCATGTGCCCGGCTGTACTGAAGGTTGATATGTCTCTGCAGTCAACTCAGTATTTTTTGACACATGAGTAGTGCGAGCAGAGGTGGATATGTGAAAGCTGCAGATTAATTTTTCAAGATTTGAAAATGGGTGTGACGTGTTTTTTATTGTGTTGTTTTGAGGGTCCTTTTTGCCTTTAGACTAAGCAGAGTCACCAGAATAGAAAAGGCTCAAAACTTTCCCACAGGAATAATAAAACATTTTCATTCTAACTTATTTTCATTAGTTTACTGCACCTAACTGGTACATTTGAATGTTTCACTCCATGTTATTATTAGCTGCATTTCATGTATACATACGTGTAATTAGCGTCAATTAGGCTGTTTGTTTAATTCCAAAAATTTATACCAGCAGCTCATACCAGCCATAAACTTTTATGTTTTATCGTCATGGCGCAAAATGCAATGTTGGCACCTTAAAGGGTTTTTTGTTTGTTTGTTTTGTTTTTGTTTTTACCGTCAACGTTCTCCCTGTCGCTGATGTGCTGCAGGTTGCATCCCGTCTCCTCCCTACTCATATCCGACTCCTGGTGGTACGACTCCAGCCTCGAGTGGGCATTTCTGCGGAGCTTGGGGCTCCCAGACACGCAGCAAGAGGTCGTGCTCCCCATCTTTACCCGTTCACTGCGCGTACAGGCAGGAGCTGTGCATATAATCTATCCTTTCCGTTTGAAACGGAAGCTGAAACGACCCCACCGAGCCGGTGAGCGTAGATCACGAGAGCGCACTTGAAGCATCCATCGTAGCGCCCACAGATGCTGTCAGTCTTTGGTGTCCACGGTGAGGCTGTCACGGGAGATAAAGATGACACTTCTCTAGAAGCCAGAGTAAATAACGGGCCGACCTACCACCGCTACCACAGGAATCGTACAACCCGGAGTATCCCGTGCAGCACCGCTGATGATGTGAGCGACGACGGGCGCACGGTGATGTGTGGATCGGTGTTGAGGCTGGCTGTCAGCGCGATACAGCGACGGGGAGGGTGTAAATCCCGAGAAAAGGTTCCGGTTCAAGTGGGTGGATACAAATGAGACAGCAAAGAGAGAGGCTAAAGGGCGAGAGAGCTGATTTAATGATTTATTATTGTTAATTAATGATGGTATTTAATCCCTAATGTCGAAAGGTCCATTAATCTGTCTATTAATCCCCCATTAAATAGATGGATCCATCTTTAAGAAGCAAATAGACATTTGCAGGTTTTTACAGAAATGCTGTGTAAATGAGGTGTTACACGATGGTTTGTGCCTATGTGTTAATTTTAAAGAGAAATTGTCTTATTGTGACAGAATAATGCTAAATCTTTATGTTATTGTAGACCAGGTTAAATGAGGCCAAGTTCAATGATCAGATGAAAACAAGCTTTTTATAATCATTACACTCAGAAACTGTTTTGTCGTTAAAACCTTTGAAGTTCGTGTTTCTCCCAGCTCTGTGAAGCATCGGGCTATTTTGAATAAGCACAAGCGAACAATTAAACAATTACATTTGAAAAAAAATCGTGTGTGGGTGGCTGGGAGTGAGGAGCGTGGGTGGTAGTGTTGAAATAGGGTCATCTGCTGGCCAACTCCTGGCAATGCAGGACTGTATGATACAAAAAAAACTTAAGATGGTCAACAGTCAAAGCACAATAAGACATACTCATGACCAGAGATGCGTAGTAATCTACTGTAATCTGATTACTTTTTTCAAGTAACGAGTAAAGTAAGGGATTACTATTGCAAAAACTGTCATTAGATTACCGTTACTTTCCCGTAGGAACGCTGCGTTACTGTGTTACTAAAACCGTGATTTTTTTGCGAGAATGTCTCATGACAATGACATAAGGGAGTGCGATGTTCGTGACAACAGCTGTGTGCAGATCAACAATGGATAATATATCGAGAGAGTATGAGCGTGCAGCGTTTAAAGCGTGGAAGTACTGTCCTTACTTTGAGTTTGATTCCATAAAAAGTGACAAAAACATTAGTGTCTCTTGTGCGTGAGAAGAAAACTTCTTTTTACAGAGAAAAAAAACCCTAAACAACCACCGAGTGCACAACGCCATAATGGAAAATTCACAGAGAAACTCGCGGATTCTTCAACTGACGCTGGGGCACACCTGCACTAGGGCAAACCTCAGCCTACGCCACTCCTGCTTTACAGGTGAAAATAGAGCAACAAGACTGCTAGTCTTTGATTTTATTTATTTTCTGCTGTGTTTTACTTGCATCTATTTGAAAGAGTGAGTGTAAACACAAAACATATTTTATTTTATGTGCTGGAATGTGCAGAAAATAGGTTTAAATGTTAAACTAATTTCTTCAAGTCAGAGAATGGTGCATATATAAATTAATTTTTGCTTGATGCATAAAGTTAAAAGATTAAAACTGATAAAGCAAGTTTAAAAAAGAGACTTTTCCATTTGATTACATTTTGTATGATGGATTATGCAGAAAAAGTAGAATTGGGCGGAAAGATCTATCGCTTTATCACCTATTCAGGTTGTAAATTGTGTTTTTAAAAAGTAACTAAGTAATTAATTACTTTTGAAAATAAGTAATCAGTAAAGTAACGGGATTACTTTTGGGGGGAAGTAATCAGTAATTAGTTACTGATTACTTTTTTCAAGTAACTTGACCAACACTGCTCATGACTGAAATGATTTTATTAACAGGCTAAATCTTTTATTATTAAAAACAGATGATTTGAAATAGTAAACCACGCTGTCAATCATTGTGCATGTGTGATGTGAACCACATTTATGCACGTTTATGATGCATGTATACAAGAATCTAGGACAACTTTTGAGTGTGTACAAAATTAACCAGTGTTTCCACCAGAGTGCAGATCAGGACCAAATTATCAACTTAAGTAGGTTATTATTTAGTCAGAAAAATCACGCTTGAAATACTTTATTACAGCAGCAGAATAGAGTTCTGCACCCAGACTCAGAGTCCAAATATGTTACATTATGAAGCGATTACGTCGTTCACGGCAGATGGCTGCTCCTCCCTGAGCCTGGTTCTCCTGGTGGTTTCTTCCTGTTAAAGGGGAGTTTTCCTTCCCAATGTCACAGAGTGCTTGTTCATAGGGGGTCATGTGACTGTTGAGATTTCTTTGACTGTACATTTCTAAAAACTTTCCTTGACAGTTAGTCCTTGGAGAACCAAATGGAGAAAGTACTCGTCATTCTCAAATAACACAGCAATTCTTTACTGGGTTACATCTTGTCAGTGATTTTTCCGTGTTATACATTTCTGCAGGTGAAAATGTAGCATCACGGTGCTGACAAAATAAGCACCTACAACCAAGCAAGATATAAGAAATAACACATCATCTGAACACAAAGGTTTAATTAAAAAAAAGTTTGACAGAGATAAAAAGTGAGAGATAATTTATATACTTTAAATAGCAACACTTGAGATAACAAGCACTATTCCTAGCTATCAGTTGGTTGCATATCACCGAATGTCGCATCTTTCTCCAGGAATACTTTGATTTTGAAATCTCTGTTCTCCAGACGCAGTGAACATTACAAATAGCTCCTGCTCTGACTCAGTTACACATAAAAAATGAGGTAATTATTTACAACCAGTGTTGGTCAAGTTACTAGAAAAAAGTAATCAGTAACTAATTACTGACATTCCAGCACATAAAATAAAATGTTTTGTGTTTATACTCACTCTTTCAAATAGATGCAAGTAAAACACAGCAGAAAATAAATAAAATCAAAGACTAGCGGTCCTTTTGCTCTATTTTCACCTGTAAAGCAGGAGTAGGGTAGGTGGAGGTTTACCCTGGTGCAGGTGTGCTGCAGCGGTCAGTGGAAGAATCCGCGAGTTTCTCTGAATTTCCCATTACGTCATTACGCACTCGGTGCTTGTTTAGGGGTTGGTTTTTTTTCGCTGTAAAAAGAAGTTTTCTTCCCACGCACAACGGATGCTAATGTTTTTGTCACTTTTTATGGAATCAAACTTAAAGTAAGGTTAAAGTAAGGTTTAAGTTTGATTGTACTTCCACGCTTTAAACGCTGCACGCTCATACTCTATCCTGCACTCGATATATTATCCATTGTTGATCTGCACACAGCTGTTGTCACGAACGTCGCACTTGCTTACGTCACTGTCATGAGACATTCTCGCAAAAAGATCACGGTTTTAGTAACGCAGTAACGCAGCATTCCTACAGGAAAGTAACGGTAATCTAATTACCGTTTTTGCGATAGTAATCCCTTACTTTACGTGTTACTTTAAAAAGTAATCAGATTACAGTAACACGTTACAAGTAACGCGTTACTGCCCATCTCTGTTTACAAGACATTAAAAAAGGGAGATAGAGTTGAATCGGTGTATTACTTACATCCATGTACACCAGGCCAAACTAAGATACTCATAATTTAGCACCAAATCGATGATCAGAAACATTATTTCTTTAACGTATAAAAGGTGTAGTGTTTTTGGTGCTAACATTAAAACTGGGATAAGGAAGGGATCAATATTAGAAAATCTGTAGACAAGAATTTTTTTCAGGTGCTACTTGGACAATTACTCTGTATGAAAACTGTAGAAGAGTATCACATAGATTATTTGATCGCTGTCAGTAAAATAATTTTGTTATAAAAACTGAATCGAATGTGTTTTATAAGTTCTGGTAATTTTTTTAACACATGAGGGACATCGGCATTTTTCAGAGTAAAAAAGAAAAAAATATTATTATTAGTAGTAATAGTAGTAGTATAATTATGAGAGGGTAGTTGCAGTATCGTGTACTGAACAGCAGAGGTCTGTCTTGACTTCTTCAGTGGAGGCGCTGTTCATGTTGTCATGGTAGTGGGCCTCAGTTTACTGGTAGGCAGCCAGTCTCTAGGTGGAAATTTCCACTCAAACCACACTTGACCAAAGGCCATGAAGATGTTTGAAAAGAGTGATAATGAAACATTAAATAGACTCCCACGCTTAAAAATTTCCATTTTGGTTTGTTTTTCTGTAAACAGCATAAAAGTAGGGGTCATAAACAGCTTGGCTTTAGAGTTTGGGTAAATTGTTCCACAAGTTTGACTTGGAATTTATATATTTGCTTTTTAACTAGGATGTTAATATGTGTGTTAGCTTTAAAAATATTTTTGCTGCTGCGTCGTTGGGGAGTTGCAGTCTTTTCATGCACAGCAGCGTTCAAGGTTTCCCTCGGAGGTATTTTTCTCCGATCTGCTGTGTGTGTGTGTGTGTGTGTGTGTGTGCTTGTGAGCGAGAGAGAGAATAAGAAAATGAATAACTATGGTTTTATGGTTTTTGGCAGTAAGTGTGTGTAACAGAGAGTGAAGCTGTATTTCAATAGTTGAATTGTCTGTCATTGTCATTGAAGTTGAATTCACAGTGCAGAGCACAGAATACGTGTGCATGCATAATTCATTTTGGTGAGTGTATGAGACTGCAACATATGGTATAAGGTGAAGAGATCAATCCAATTCAAATTAAAAATCACACAGAATTATCTGTGCTTTTATCACCATCAACCCCTTTGAGGTCACTGTTATATTGCTATGAGGTTGCTATGGAAACTGTCCTCATTTGCTTCCACTGTTAAGAGTAATTTCGTTCTAAAAATTTTAGTTGGCTCATGAAGCAGCTTTTCAGCTTCATTATTTGTCGGTAGTTTGTTTTTATCTTAAACAGCACACTATAAATACGTGTCTTTAGAAGAAAGGTATTATTTAAAACATTTTTTTTCTGCCCTCTTAGAAGATGTTTCTTTTTTCTTTACATTCCATCTAATGTGCTTTGACGCAAATGAGGTTTATTACTTTCCAAAGAGGAACTAACCTTTGGTTTGCTTGGGGAAGCAAAATAAAAGCTGAGGTTTGTTACTCTTCAGCCTGCACATTACATAATCTGTGACCTTTAGGTGCTGGAGGAAATTTTAAACAGGTACAAACACACTGTCCATGCCAATAGTAGTTACAATAGGATATACACAAAGACAAAACTGCTACTCTTTTACAAGGAAAAGTACTACAAACCTTTAGGAATGTCTTGGTGATACAGTAGCAACATGCTTTATAACTTAGATGCTGAACTTAAGTGCAGCATCAAGATGGAGAAGGCACTGGTTGCTTGATTTGGTACATTTTAGATACAAAGGAATCACTTTAACCAACAAAAAGATGAAACGACTAACATAAAATCTGCCCTGCAACATCACTGAAAATAGACTACAACACTGAGACTAATGAGCCAAGCTGATCTTTATCACTGTGACCTTAAACTGAGCTTAGTTCAGGCAGGTCAAGCTTCGCCCACGGTCCCAGTATATCAGCTCAGCCTAGCTAATGCCTCAGCCGATCCAGTTTTGTGCATCCTGCTCCCAAATCTCATACTCCACTCGTGTTAGCCTTCTTACAGTTGTTGCTACCTCTGCAAGCCATTGTGCAGCCCTCCTCCACCCCCGCTTCCTCTTTTCACGGAGTTTTCGATTTAATCAGTGTAAAGTCCGCAGCCAGTGTTGCTGATGTTTTCATGCTCCACATGAAAGTGTAGGGAGGTCCCAGAAGAGAGCCATACCTTCAACTGTAAATTACTGCAGAAGGAAATATCAGTCTTCTTATGAGAAAAGTATGCCTGACTAGCACGAATGAATATGGCAAATATTTGCCATCAAGGCCTTTAAGTTTTATCCTTGTATTTGCTAAACTAAACACAGTACAGATGTTAACATTCAAGGCATAAGTGCTGTACTATTTGCTAACACAGCATGCCTGCGCTGCAGAGGTACATGTATGCAGTTACCTAACTGCATTGAATACTTTAGCCTTGAGGCTGAAGTATGTGTATGCCGCGTTCATATTGTGAAACTGACCTTTGTTCTATGAGGGCTTTCACAATTTTGACATACAAAAGCAGCGAAAATTACCCAACAATTCTTAAAATTATTCAAGCTACCACCCATTTTCTCCTCTCCTAAGCTAATAAAGTAATATGCTGCTTATATATGATTATTCAATTAATAATCATGCAATAATATAATATAGTTCCCTTATTTAATTTAATTTATATAGTTAAGCCCATATGTTGTTGTGCAAAGACACAGTTTTGTAGCTTTACCTTTAAACACCATAATCAGTCATTTTAAAATATTAGGACTGTTTTGCAGCTTTTGGCTGCATCTACAGTATACTTCATAATTTTTTTTTTTCATATTTATATCCTGTTCATAGCCTGTACATAGCTTGTACTCACTACAGCCTGTACATACTTATAGTTATAGAATATTCATAACATACTTCATACCGTGTACATTATAACAAACCATAATAGACCCATTTCTGTAATATACTTACATATCTATATTATTGCTAATATATATTGTAATATATCTATATCATGGCTAAAGCACTTCTGGATGGATGCAAACTGCATTTCGTTGCCCTGTACCTGTGACATGTGCAATGACAATAAAGTTGAATTCTATTCTATTCTAATTCATCTTTTTACTTCTATAAGCAGCCACCTCATCAATAAACTCCATCAATAAAGTACGGTGGTCCATTTCCACTTGCAGCCATACATGTGCCACAGTAGTGGCTCCATCATGTCTGAGAGACGATGTGATTCGTTTCTTATTATGAGCCGTTTCTCTCCTTCTCCATACTTTTCTCTGTCTTTATGCTACAAGTTCATCTTAGTTTCTTCTGAGCATAACCAGCGGTTTGCACCTTGTGTTTCCGTTTAAGAAGGCGCCTCTTGATAGTACACACTGACAATAATACACCTACCTCCTCGAGAAAGTCCTTCACTTGGTTAATGTTGCGATGTTGTTTTTCTTAACCGTGGAAATGATTCTGTCATCATGCACCTTATTTGACTTCAGGCCTTATGGCTACTCCTAAAGTTCCTGCTTTCTCTCGGATGTTTATTTATTTGTTTTTACTCTATTTTCCAGCTTAATGACGGCCTCCCTCACTTGCATTAACATCTCTGTGGCCCTTATATTTAAAGTTACAGTGACCAGCTATAAGTTAGAAATTCAACAGTGTGAATAAACTTCAGATTGTCTGCTTCACTTGTCATAAAACATGAGGGAACAGGCTTCCCCTGGTCATGAAGCCATGTGTCAGTCAACTGTCCAATGAATTTTGAGCCTCTAATTGTCTGCACTTCAATTACATATAAGTTGTTTTGGTGTACAGTGGCAAAACCACAAAAATTGTGGCTTTGTCCGACAATTTATGGACCTGTAAAGTGCGGATTTATCTTGCACAGCTTTAACTGCACTAACATAAGATGGCTTCAGTGTTGAGGGAGTTTCATCAGCAGTATGTGAGCTAAACATTATCACACAATCCATGTCACATTTGTATATTTTATTAGATAAACAAAAATATTTTTTTTACAATTCAAATAAGGAAGTACGTCAACAACAGAACACCTGGTAGAAGACTGAGCCATTTAAAACAGCAAAAACTAAGTGCAGAAAATATTCAGCTCATCTGATATTAAAGAAATAGAGATATAGAAGGCCTGGATGTTTTCCTTTCATAGAATTTAAAAGAATGGGCGCACGTCTGAGATCACAAACAGTAGCAGACTGTTTGGGTGGCAGCTATCAAGACTGATACTGTTATGACTGAGTTAGTCAGTGGGTAGATCCCTTACTGTTACTTAAAGAGCTTTGGCAGCCGCATTGTAACAGATGTCAGGGTCTGCTACTCAGAGGAATGCTCTTTTGTGCATTTGTCTACATTCTTCTTAGAAAATCAAATATTTTAATGAAGTATAATCAGGGAAACAACAGAAACAGAGAAAGCTTTTACACATATTACCAGAAACATGAACACAAAATGATACATTATTTGAGAAAGAATATTTTTACAAAAAAAAGACAAAAGAATTGGCATTACCCTTTAAACAGAGCATTTTAATATTACAATAAGCCATAAATACAGTTTTATTCCAAAATGGATATTCAAAAAGGTATTTAACAGCAGACCAAAACAGTTATTCTTGGGGCCATAGTCAATGTAAAATGATTGTTTACAAATTTGATATTTCAATTTTTAAAACATACAACAACTATCTTTGTAGAATATATACGTTTTTATGTGAAATCAGAATCAGACGACTTTATTTATCCCCAAGGGGGATAAATTCAGGTAACGGCAATATAATATAAACTCTAATATCTACACGTGTCCTTGGTTACTTTCTGTGCTTTGTCCAAAGTCCAACTGTGCTCTTTTGTTTCACTTCAAGTACTGTAACGTCACTACAGTAATGCAAAAATAAAGATTGTTTTGAACATTATTTGATTCTTTGAAACTATACTGTGATTCAGATAATGCCTCTCTCTATATTAGTATGAAATTGATTTTGTGAATCTGTGCAAACGCAACCAAACGCAAATGGATTTTTATCTTGATTTCATTGACTTTACCAGTGTTTTCTTAAAAAAAAAAGGTCTTTTGTAACAAACTAACAATGACGAAAATCCACTTTACAGACAAAATGCTTGATAAATCTTCTTTCTTTCCTTTTTTTTTTTTTAACCGCATGAAGGAATGCAATGACCAAAAACAGAAGCATAAATAACACATAATCAGGTAAACACACTTTGAATTGCCTTGTCGCAGTGCTGATGGATCTGCGTAGCAGCTCGTCTGACCTCCGAGAAACATGCTGGTTGCGGGACCTGGCTGACCCCTCGAAGGATTTTTCGTAATTGCCATAAATGAGCGGCACATTTTCAGGAAACACCTGTATTTCCTCTTCCTGTTCCTCTTCTTCAGCCGGCTCTCATTGGTTAGCCTCGCTCGTGCGCAACAGCAACAGCAAACACAATGTGTACGACACTTCAGTCTTCACATGCAAAGAGCACAAGATAAGAACAAGAGCGAAACTGGCAAGCTCAAGCTATTTGACTTCCCTACGACACTTCTGAAATTTGGCGTGAATCAGGCCTGAGTGAGCAGAGAATAAAAGACGATGAAAGTAGTTTTTGTTCCAGAGTCTTTTCTTCTTTCTTTTTTGGGTTTTTTTTTTTTTGTTTTGTCTTATTTTGCTGTAGAAGTTTGTAAACTGTCTTCAGCCCATGACCACAAACAGCCACTGCTACTCAGCTTTGTGGCAGTAAATGTCCTTTAGTGCTTTTAGCTCTTCAATCAAGGTCTTGTTTTGGTTTTCCAACACAGCCACACGGTTTTCCAGACATTTGACATACTCTTTCTTTTTCCTGCGGCACTCACGAGCTGCTTCCCTGAGGAGGAAATGGAGGAAAAATTTGGATGAGTCTCCAGATGAAAATATAATATAAGAGTCAAGACAAGTCTGCACAATCCATAAACAAAACAATGTCTGAGGCTTTTGAGTTCGAGTTTCATGAGTTCATGAATCTGTTTACGTAGAGATTCGCTGCAGTGTTTCGTTTTCAAATTTTTTTAAAAATCTGCCGATCACCTACAAAAGCAGAAATCTTTAGCTTTGACCTTTTGTGAATAGTCGCTTTGACACAAAGTGTGAACAGCAACCTTCAGACATGCACAATAACGCTTCAGTCAAAGTTTCCAATATGCATGAATTAGGGGGTCCCCAACATTCATTCCCTTGCTTGCTTGCAATCATATTTCCATTACTGACAAGGAATGATCTTACACCTCAAATACAATCTCTTACTTCTACTTCAGCTCCTACCTGTTTTTCATCAGCCGGACCTCCCTCTTGCGGGTGATCTCCTCGGCGTGCTGTGATGAGGGGCTCTGCATGCTGCCTGGAGACGCAGCCATTACAATGCTCTGAGCCAGGCCCGAGTTTGGTGAACGAAGCTGGTAGGCGGGGATGTCTCCAGTAGCGGCTGTAGACGAATACAGACGAAAGAATAGGAGATCAAGATTCTGCAACCTTTTACTTTTTGTTGATCTTTGTTGTCTTTATATTTTCCTCATAAAAACTCTAAATCTGTACAAGAATCTTTACCTGCTTAATTTATTCTTATACCATCAGACGAACACAGAATACAAACTGTTGCATTTTTAAGAAAAATTCTTGAGGTGTGTCCTAACATTATGCTGTACTTATTATTTTATTACATTAAAAGCAGGAATTAAGAGCTCTAATAAAAAGATGCTGGCTCAAACAAACTTCAAAACTTTGCTGCTGAAATACAAAGTCAAGCAGTTCCCACTTCTGAGGGATACTGAGCAACACAGCAAGTGCCATAAAGTCTATTTCTGTTCCTTTTATGCAGACATTAGTAAGATCTGCTTTTGTTTTTACTTAATTTGCCCTCATAAATTGTGAATTTATGCTCTAGGACCAGAGTTAAGTG